AACAGCATCTGTGTAACGTGGCCCGGACACGGGAAAGTTCACTCACGGCTCCATACAGGTTGTAGGGTGGAAAATAGTGAATCACTTCATTAAAATGGCTCCCCCTTTCACAGGGGAGCTGGGAGAACTTTCCAGAGTATGGTGAATAAGGGGAGGAGTTTTGGGAAAGAAGAACAACGATTGGGTACAGAGAATAAAGGGGAGGGATCACAATAGAATATGCATAAGAAGGGAGTGGAACTCTTGTGGGAACAAACCATTACAACATGGGGATAGGAATAAACCATTCCTTTAAAACATTAAAACAGCCATAAACCTGTAATTTCTCTCCATTCAACAGTCTCAGTTAAGCAAGTCCATTATTTTAAATCCATTCCTCTTCTTCTGCGACTTCTTCCAATGCCGCAGCCCAGCGCTGGTAGGCTTTTCTCTCTAATTCTTCGGAGTCCTCATCCACATCTGTGTGCCTCCATTTCTTCCTCTGGCCTTCCCAGTCTGGCATGAATGTTGGCAGGACCCTCATCTCTTCTGTCTCCTCTGCTGTACCCCTGAGAGCTCCACTGTGTTCCTTGTGGCTCTCCCCCGCCAGAGCAATGCTGGCCCAAAACCACCTGTTGCAAATAAATAAATTTTAAAAATTGAAAAGAACTAAAAACACTTTTTAAGTACTCACTAATATACATGTAAGGGATCCAGTCACTGCTTCAGGGGAGACAATTTAATATCTAAGTGTGTATTTAGGCTCCTGTATGGTACAATTTCCTTTTTGGCTCCTGACACACCTGGAGATTAGTGCCTCAGGGCAGCTCCACACACATGCTGGAGAGCACAAGAGGTCAGAAGTGGTCAGTATCAGAACTACTACTTCTAAACCCCACCACAGATATGTTTTAGAGATCAATTAAATGTTTCTGTGGCAGGTTGACCACAGCTGGCTGTGAGAAGCCTGCCTGGCTGCTCTCACTTCCCCTCCTCAGCCAGGCAGGGGAGAAAACACAGCAATAAAACTCGTGGGTCACGATACAAAGCCAGATACAGACAGGAAGATCCCTCACCTATTGCTATCACAAGCGCAAGAGAATCAACTTGGAGAAAATAATGTTATTTCTTACCAATTAACCTAGGTCTGGATGGTAAGAAACAAAGATAAATTACTCTCCCTTACCCTCTTTTCCCCAACTCACCCTCCCTCCTTCACTTCTAACTGCTGTGCCTCTCCCAGCTCCTGGCAGTGTTTCTCCCCTCTCACCTCTGTCCCCCTGAGGTGCCACATGCAGGGCTGAGGGGCTCAGCAAGGTTTGAGCCACGGGGCTGCTGGAACTGGCCATGCCCAGCCTGGGGCAGCCCCAGCCTCTCCGCAGGCAGGTGTTCCTGGGTGCAGGCACCCCATGCATTCCCAAAGGCAAAAATAGGGGGTAAAGCACGTGTCCAATCTTCAGGTGCTCTCTTGGGCCTGTGACCACTTCTTGATGCTTTCATCGTTATAAAGCAGCTCTGCTCATGCACAGGCAGCCCAATCCCTTTGGAGACACTGAGGGCAAAACCACCCTTTGGTTTGGGGCAGAAGAGGATGAGGCCAAACTACCACACACCCATTCCTACGGTCAGCTGCCTTTATTTCTTCTATTGCTTTTCCATCTCTCCTCTCTGCACAGACAAACCTGGCAATAATCACAACTGAACAAAAACCGTCTCAAGGCTTTGTTCATTAACCACATTCAGGAAGCAGAGAGCAAGGCTTCACAAACCTGCTTGTGCATAAACACTCGTTTTATGGCCACTTACTTTGTGTTCTCAAGTCATTTTATTTTGTCTTTTACTCAGCCCTTTCCTCAGTCATTAAGCAACTTCACTGCAGTTTCTTCAAGGTTTTCATGCATTTTATTGGTTTGTTTTTTTTTTCCTTTTTCTCCACTCTTTCAGCAGGCTTTGGGCAAGCACAACCTTGAGCTTGCTCTGCCACTAAGCTGCTCCCAGAAACCTGAAAGCAAAGATCTCACCCAGAAGACAGCAGCAAGCACTAACATCTGCACCTCACCACTGAAGGTTGCTGAAACAGGAAGGCAGCTTCCCCTGGAAGAGGTAGGGAAAGGGGATTGCACACTGGAAATGAGCAAGATTAAAAACACCAATCCAGCTGTCACACACAAAGCTACCTGCAAGTTATTGCCACTGTACATCACCCAACAGGCAAACCCACAAACCAGGAACAGGGAGGCAACCAGAGTGAGGCAAGAACGGGGGTTTCCTTCTGAAAGTAGCAAAATGGAGCTCAGAGGTCAAGCCTGTTATGGAACCTTCCTTTCCCCCCCCCCCATTCCATCACACAATCCTTTCGCAGTTTCACTGCACATAATGGAATTAAGGTTTAGTGGAAAGCAGAGACCAAAACCAACAGATTTACTAATTATCATCCCAAATAACTGCAGCCTGCCTGTGAAGGCGGCAGCTGTGTCCCCTCCAGAGGAGAGGGGAGGCACAGGTGGGCTGCAATCCTGACAGAATGGGACCAGCAGCTCACGGGGAACACAGAGGCCAGACAGGAAGATCCCTTCTACCCAGAGCAATTTATTCTAGACTAGATAAACAGGCTTCCTGGATGGATTTTAAAAATTCATGCAGAAAAATGTGGCTGTCTGGGAAGTGGGTTTGTCTGTGGCATTTTTAGCACAGAACACCCCCCCCAATGAAAACCATCTGATCCTGTTACAACACACACACACCTGTGTACGTATATTAAGATAAATAGAGAACCTTAATGTTGCTCACATCTACGGCTAATAAACTGAATGAAAACAACTACACTTACATCTCAGTGGAGTAAAATAAAGGGTCATGGCTCACACTTAGGCTGGGGAACCAGCAGAGATGAGCCCTCATCCACATTACTGTCAGAGAAGCAGAAATCACCAGGCTCTTTTCTCAAAGCCAGCCAAATTTCACCACAGCTGGGCCCAAACCAGAGGTCACCCTTCTTCTCCCTGTCTAGTCCTGCTTTAACGTGTCCAGAGGTGGGCTACAGCACTGGAGGGGGTCTGAAGGTCAGAAGAACTTGTACATCCCTGTTCATTTTTCAAGAACGAAGATTCAGTGATAGATTACTTGGGTAACAGTGATTCATTTTGTTTTCTCCTGCAGTCCCATTAAAAGTCTATGCATTTTAATGCTCTTCAACAAAGCCTCCAAGTTATAGATCCGTATTAACAAGCACAATGAGAAAACCAACCTCTTCCTGCCTTTCTGCTGTTCTCCCCAAACTCATTCAAATTACCTTAAGCTTTTCTGTAACAAACACAAGAGGAAGAGGCTATCACCACTCGGCTGTAGCCTCAAGAAGCATAAATACATTAGCTAATGGGCTGTTTGCAAGCTGCAATGGTCAATTAAATATAGAGAAAACATCATCCCAGTGACAGAACAGCACCCCATCTTAATCCCATCAAGGCACAGGCAAACAAGCTCATCATAGTTTGCTTCCAGCCCTGCCATCCTCTTAGAGCCAGAAAAGCCAGGTGAATTTTCCCACAGCCCCTCTGAACTGAAAAGCTAACATTGTTTAGGGTACAAGTAAATTGATTAACTTTCAAGAGCACTTATGTAAAGATCAGACACTTAGTCAATATTATTTTGCTCTTTTAACCTTCTAGTTAGAGAGAGGTATAAAAACTGCCTAAAAGGCACAATGTAAAATTTTATTTTCATCCTCTTTTATTTCGTTGTAATTTGTTGCTCATTAAAAAAAAAGTTAAAAAAGATTAAACTTCTTAATGCCATTTCCAGACCTTCAGAACAGAAAGTATTTCTCTAGCAACAGGTAGGGAAAAGAACATGAGCCCAGCACGGCCGGGGCAAGAGCACAGCCTCCACCCAAGGGCCACCTCTGGATTATCCACAACATGGAATGAAAGGGTCTTTTCTCCCCAAACAAGGGATCTCACCAGGTTGGCGCTCACCCGGTACAGCCACACTGCTCCTCAATGCTGTGTTTGGAAGGCCAAGTGATCGTCCTGAACAGGACAGGAGAATTCAATGTAAAATTCAATGCAAAATTCCACTTCAGTGCAGGAAAATTAAGGCAAGTTCACTTCACACAATGTACTCCTGGTTTAGGAAAACCCACGACATTTATAAATCCATTAGAGTTTTACTAATTCCAGTATATCCTTCTGGCACTAGATGTCCGCACAAAGGTGAATTTCCATTAGAGAAGGACCTGTTCTGCCTTGTTGGTACATACTTGAACACACAGAAAGAAGAACAAGAGAAAACACCTGTGTCAGTATAAAGCAGACTTGAAATTTAAAAAGTACCATTTAAAGTTACTTAGACATATTTACTGGCATGCATTTGATTTCATTACTAATGATGATGCTAATGCTTACTCATGACTAGGGAGAAAAGGACACGATTTCTTACCTAAGTTGCTTGATATTACTGTGGATCTCTAGTTGTTGCCTGATACTATTATAGATTTCCAACTGAATGGCTGTGAAAGCGAATGCCAAGGGAAGAAAGGCTGAACATGCTTCAGTATATTCATATGGGTACCAATGACGTGTAAAACATCTTCTGGTAAGCAAGTGTTATATTCCCACAAACACTCAGACACACAAGAATGAAGTCAAAAAAAAGGAAGGACAGTGTCCTCCCTGCCAAGTAAGCCCCATGTCCCTGGGCACTGGAGAAGGTGCTCCTTCACATTTCCCTCACGAAGCCATAGTGACTCCTTCCTGCACAAACACACATTCTCCTCAGCACCTCTTTCTCAAACAAAGTTGAGCCAAACACAAATCAGAGATTAAAACAGCCCTTATGACAAGTGCAGTGCAGCACACAGCTCTCCCAACAAAAGTGTCATTCATATTTAAATGACACATGCATCCACCAAGGCAGGAATTAAGCCTGAAGGGCTACTGCAGACTCCGTACCTAACAAAGGTACCACGCCGTAATCATGAGGGCTGCAATGCACAGCTAAACCACAACCCAAGCACTGAAGACCTGATCCACGCCATGTGTTTCGAGTCCTGAAGAAAGCACGGGTGTTTATAGCACTGCAGGACAACCATCACCACAGGGCACGGCCCCCACATGCCATTTGCCTGCCTTTGTCCTCAGGCGCCATTTTGTGGACAGGCGGCACGACCGCCATCTTGTGGGCAGGTGGCCCCCGGGGTGTGCTGAGGCCTTGCGGGGGGGGGGGGGGCTGCACCTCCTGGCCACGGGAACAAGGCTGGAAAAGATCTCTGAAATCACTGAGTTGCAAGACCTGCTGTAAATTACGTACCATCATTCCTCGATTCAGCAGTTCCAGTTTGTTGTAGAGCACTGGCTTCAAGCGGGTGAGATCTCTTGCCTGGGCTTGGCTGTGCACCCACGTCCTCTCAGCCCCTCAGGGGACGTGCCCATCTGCAGCAATCCCACCACTAAAACCCAGACTCTTCCAAACCCTTCCCAGAGGCTCTTGATGCTCCAGTACACACCCTGGTCCCTCACCAAACACCTATGGAGCTGCTCCTAAGGGTGACCCAATACTCGCAGTGCCCAACACACACAGTTCTCACTGTATCAATAAACTCTGCCTAAATCACAGAAGAATTTAAGTAGCAAAGAACCACCAGCATTTACCAACCCACACAAGATTTGTACCATTCAGTTGCAAATTCCGAGCAGGCTCCACTCTCCCCTCTGCCTTCTTTATGGTTCTTAACTGATGTTTCAGTATCTCGCTACAACTTCTCCATACGAGATTTTGGATTTAAGAACGTAGCAAGCTGTCAATACCTATATATTAATGTATAAGCATAAGGTAGCCTCTTATAAAATGAAGATTTACAAAATCTTCTGGAAGATTTTAAAAATCACATCTATCTTGCATGCTGTATACCATAAACCCACTACGAGTGTAATTATATATAATTAGTTGTGTGTTTGTAAACCCAACAGCTTAATCATGTTTAATTAACCACATTGTAATTGGAACATTCGATAGTTAAAAATGTTGTCTTGCTAAACTGATGAACACCTGGAACACGCAATTACTTTCACCACCAATAAATTAACTTTAACTAAAATCTGTCATTAGTAATTATTTTCCTTCCTTCCCGGTAGACCACTAGGATTAGAGATAATAAATAGCCAAATCAGATCCATAGCAATTTGTTAAGACCACAACTGCAGGAGCCCTCCTTCTGCCAATTTTACTTTTCTGTAATATATTCTTCAGCAGAGATTACTAACTGCTGCATAAGTCATTGCTTTCCCTTGTTTTTTTATTTCCAAAACTCATTTTTATCAGGGGCTTGGTTGTTGGGGGGGGAGAGGGTGTCACGGGAGGAAGGGTTGGCTTTGTTCTTAAGAACTACCAGGTCAAATGTACCAAGTTACCTCCAAGTGAGGAGCAGGGAGAAAGGCTCAGCCCCTTACTCAGACCCCTCACAGAGGGTCTGGCTGCTGGTTTGCCAGCAGGTCTTAGCACAAGTAAAAAATGGGCACACGCCGAGGGAATATCTTCACACAAGCACTTGGAGCCATTTGCTTACCCATTTCAAGGCACACAGACACATAAAAATGAGAGGCCTTAGAAAAGTGTCCACTTAGAAAAATAACTGGAACATTTTCAGGAAAAGAGAAACCAGACAACACAAAACATATAGCATTAAACTGCAGAGTGTATTATCTGTAGGTCAAGCACTCCTATTCACTGTCATTATTCCTGATCATTGGCATCTGCTGTGGAACCAAGAGGCAGCAAATCTAAAACGATGAAAGGAAATAAACACAATGCAACGACAGACTGCTCAACTGTCATATCACAGCCTTGAAATCACAGGATCAGGAGGCCTTAAAAAAGGACTAGACATTTGTACAAACAAGAACATACACCATCATAAGGATTTAATAACGGTTTGAAGCCGATACCATACTCTGGAGCTGAGCTGGTACAGGGAGCTGGGGGTACCATTACTGCTCCCAGGCTTCTTGCAGCAAATCCAGAGCCAGCTCCCACTGAATATTGACACCAACATCTATAAACCTGACCAACCACAAGATACAGGACAGTGAAAAGAAAGAGCAATTTCTTTCAATCCGGATGTATCTGGAGCAGCTTCATTTTGTGTACACAGATTCTAGTTTCCTTAGGTGAGCCAGAAATATATTGCAGTCTCTTCTTTTGCACACTGGTACAGAGAAATGAGAATTCAATCAGGCCCTACATCACTGTGGATGGGATAGTAGGGAATAGGCAGAGGCAGAAATTATGTTAGGCTGTGACAAACAAGAAATGAGGTGTTGCAGATGCAGAATCTCTGAGTTAAAAACCCCCCACATAATCACTAGTTCTTCGCAGAGCCTTTCAACACAATGTTGGCAGTACTGATACCTGGCAGACAAACACCAGTATAGAAATTTTCAGCCCAAGTGACAGAAGTTGTTGAACAAATTCCTTGACCAGTCAATTCAACTTACTTGTTATTAGCATGACCAGGTTGCTATTCCATTACCTAGGCAGTGTTTCACACACAGTTTGCCTGTAGCTGTACATATGTCCACTATTTTCACAGATTTAACTCTAATGGAAGGATTGCATCTCCTAAAATTGTCTCTAGGAAATTGTACATCTCCTGTAGCAAGTGATATAACAAAAGATGAACTATCAAATGAACTGCTGCTAACACACAGCATGGAAAAAAAATCAGATCTCTTGCATGCTGTAATACATGATACAGGTATTTGCCTCAAGCAAACTAAAAACTGAATGGCAGAACCAGCTGATAGTCTGAAAAGTTTACCTCCTCCTTTCTCTACTGCTTAGGTGCAAGAGCGTTAATCAACAGAGCAAAGGATTATTTGTACTTCACTGAGATTAAAAAGGGTAAATGCTAAAAATGAATCCATAGCCTTCACTTCAAGCAATAACACAGAGTGCTTCAATAAAGGAGGAAACAGCTTTGATGGAACATCAAATGGGATAATGAAAAAGATCACTGAGATGAGCTTGACATGAATATTGGGCAAAATTTCCTTTCAGGAAAAGGGAACTCAAGCCCTGCCTTTATACCTGACCTGATTTTTAACACAGTGTGTGTGGGGAGAGGGGGTCTATATAACTGGCTGATGACAAAAGAAAGCAGCAGCTATTTGCCAGCCAGGAAAATGTAGATTCAGCTGAATCCCTGATGCTTCTCCAGGATCAGTCAGCCACCAGGAGGGCTGGGGAACGACAGAATGTGCAACAAAAAAACAAAAGATAGCATGAACTGAAGGAGTAGTGGAAAAATAATTTTCCATTATCCTCCAGTAATTTTTCCATTACTTTTCCATTTATAATTGATATTCTTCCTCTGACAAGGGGAAAACTGGGGCTTAAGCAAACCCAACCAAGAATTAAAGGATAAATATTGCCTAATGACAGGCAAATGGCATTAAAACGTAGGTGGCATAAATGAATGTTGAAGCTTTGCCCCTGCTCAGCAGCACCCAAGTCAGAAAAGAATCCCAGCATTCCTCAGGGAAAAATACAGCAATATTAAAGGTGAAACACAGAGAGGAGTGAAAGAGCTGAAATCAGCTCAGACTTTATTTCTGGACAACTTGTGAACATCACAGATGTATTTAAGGACAGCCAATGTTTGGGGTTTTTTTTAGTACCTTGAGATTTGCAGCTGAAACATGAAAAAAATCCAGAAAGTAGCAGAACTTTCTCAAATGCTGGGATAAAGATTTCAAATCAGTTTAAAAACAGATAAAGAAAGAAAAGCAATTTCACAATCAAGTACTAAAGCACTGAAGACATTGTTTTAACACAGAAACAGATGAACAGTGCAGATGCAACATTACAATCAAATTTCGACACACAAATAAAGCACAGGGGAAGAGCCAAAAGTGGTATTTAAGGATGGAGATTGTGACCCAATGTGTATCATTAAGCCACTTGAATTAATTCAGCTCCCTTTGTTCTTTTTACAGAGAAGTGGAAAATCAACAGATAATGGTCCCACACTGAGTAAAGAATTAGGGCATTCCCCCCCAAAAAAATGCTTTGTCTTCATTAAACATAATGAGAAAAAGAGTTGCTCTACATGAAGAACTTTGAGTTGTACAAAGTCAAAGCTTTAAGGGGAGATATCTACCCAAAAAAACTCTCAGTTATTTGACCAAAGTGCTGCCTTTTTCCAATTTGCTGTGACAAATACAGTAAGGAATAACATATGGTTGGTGTGTCACACATACCTTATAAGACATAATGCACTGGTTATATTAGTCCAACAAAGTATTTCTAATTATTTCTTTATTTCTAAATATATAATTGGAAAAACGCTTTTTTTCCTCCAAATACCATCTTTTCATACTGCAATAGCAAAATGCAGCAAGGATATTTAAATTAAAATGGTAAATAAGGTGTTAAATTGAAGGGAAACTGTATGAAGCAAAACCAGAAGTTGATGTTTCCGTCCATATTTATTTTTTTTGTATCTTGGAGACAAAGTATCAAAGCAGCTTCCACACTGGGCTAACCTCCTAAAAAGAGCTCCAGGTACCAGGAGTCGTGCCAGGGCTGCTGGAAAGATCATTAACATCTTTGGGGACACACAGTGTTATGGTCATCAATCCAACGCATTCACAGGAGTCACCCCAGGCAAAGAATTCATTAATTCCAGGTCAAATAAAGCAGATATAACCATGTTAAAAATGCAAATTATCTTTGTTTCCCATTTTTCACATAATGTTGAATAAAAGGAAGAGGAAAAATGCACTGATGCAGTGCAGGAGGGAGAAATACACTCCCACCACATGGTGGTACCCCTATGATCCTCCTGTTCCAAAGTTGAGTCTCTGTTTTGGGAATACAACTTGATATCATTCTATTTCTTATTAAATTTTATTTCCTGTAATAAAAAAATTGAAGTCAACAGTAACAAAACTTGGTCTTTATCATACCCCTGCTGACCCTTTTATCCTTTGAAGAGGTACAATCAGTCACTATGGTTATAAATGTTAATGCAATGGAAGGTGTTAATATTAGTCAGGGAAAAAAAAAAATCACAAACTCCATTCTAATCCTCATGAAAGTGAATTAATAAATAAATGATCAGAAGATAAAAGTTT